GACGGACCTGGTTTTCACCTGAGGACGGCTGCTTGCGTTGTGGCCGAAACGTCGTGAGAATTGTTTTATTATGTTTTATTTTTATTATTTTATTACTTCCCTTCTACGTGACTTTACCGAAAGAACCAAGAAGATGAACAAATCATATCACAAACAACCGCACAGTATTGAGGAACTCTGCAAAACGAAAGAAGTAACTTGTGGCTTGTTGCTGGGTGTGGAACTTCAGGGGCAACAAAAAGTGAAATGTGAGATAAACTACGAGACTAAAAACTGTTTAAGCTATTTTTACTTTAGCAGGTAAGGCACATTGAGCTATATAGCTATTTTTTTAGAAGCGACCTCGCCACAAATGATAGCTTAACAAAGTAGCTTATCATGTGGACATTCATAGCAGTAAAATACTCGAAACGCCTGATGTTGATTCTAAACGTGGAGGGAACCCCCGGATGACCCGGGAGAAAAATCCACGCGACCACAGAGAGAGAGAGAGACACGCAAACTCTAAATATACAACAGGCGTCAGAGTCTGGATGGAACTCACGACCTCCTGTATACGAGGCGAGGTAGTTATCATCTCGCCACCGAGGTTGGGACATGGATGCATGGATGGCAAAGGGCGGAGTGCAAGTGAGGAGCTACAACAGGATATAATGAATCATTCCATTTCTGTCGCGAATTCATGATGTGCTATTCCAGGCGCAGTCCACGCCACCGCTCCCCGCACGCCCTCGTTGAGCTGGCCAGGTTACCCTCCCTCCTCCAGCCCCAGCCTCATCTTTCGCTTTCGCTCAGGCTCGCCGCTGACAATTGTGGCGAGGGAGTGCTTTGGTCGGAATGCCGAGAGGGGGGTGGTGGTGTTTGTCGTTCACGTGGGCTTCAAGGAGCCGGTTTTGTTGCAACGGTGAGCGCGCTCACGAACCCGGTGACCCAGGATCGATTCCCGCTCGTATCCACCAACTGGTAGTGGCCCGATTTGTCTGAACCGGCTATGAGGGCCCTCCCTTGGGTCGACTCAGCCTCAAATGAGTACTTGGTGCGCTGGTCTAAATATCGTCACTGGGGGAGACAAAGGCGGCCGGGCGTGGTGTTGGCCGACTCGCCCGCTCTTGTGCCGTGCCGGCCATCATAGGTGGCTTGCCCCAACAGTCTATTAGGGGCCATCCATTGAGTAGGTACGCAAAAATCTGACAAAACTTGACCCCTTCTCCCCTCCCTGTACCTGCGTTCGTACGCTTGACGCACCCCCCCCCCACCCCCCGAATCATATAGAACGGCCAGTATTTAATCCACGCAGAAACGATAAAGGATTCATAATATGAACGTGTTTGAGCAAACAGTCCACCACCGGACTATCTAACTCATTCGAAGGCCAATGTAGACAAATGATTATCGATGCTTCACCACCCCCCCCCCGTTTCCTATGCATACATTGTCAGTAGACCCCCCCCCCCACCATACGCAAGCTACGCATTTGGGTTAACCCCCCTCCATGCGTACGTACTAAATGGATGGCCCCTTATAGGTCGATATTTGTATTTATCTTTCAGGTAAAGGATAGGGGTGGGAAGAATTATCCTGTTTGAGTGAAGGGGAGATTTGGGCTGTGAGATTATAATGGTGGGTGCGTCCCGAGCTGCTCAAGAAACGGACGTGGTGGTATTCAAGCGAACATTATTTTGGAAATCCCCGTTCAACGGCAAAATAGGCTGCGAGTCGAGACGATACATCAAAGAAACTGCAGGCCACGACCTCCCCCAACCTCCAGTGGCTCACGCGTCACAACACCCCTTGTGACCCTTCTGCTTTCTGCGCACGTTTGACAATGTTTACGGTCACAATGCAAAAAATTGATGCGCACGTGGCACACACGTGGAATGTATGGGTCCCGTGGGCGGCGTGGTGATGAATTATGGTCAAATAAAACGTCCACGACCCGTAACGGCGTGGAGACGCCGCCTGTCATCCCGCATACATACGTAGTACATAATAATTTGTAATAACAAACAAAAGTCTGTCCACAAAGCGTCATGGAAGAAGCCATACCTGCCAACCTGTACGATTTAACCTCGTATTCATGGACAGGGAAAATGAGTTTCCAGGTCCGTACGGCGTACAGCCGTTTTAATATCGGCAACAACAAAAAAAATGGTCTATTTGTTTGTGTTTCTCCCTTGTGATGGGACTTTGTAGGATGAACGTTGAGATTTATAAGGACACGGGGTGACCAATAAGGTCTGAATTGGTCTGTAAACCCACAACCCTTTTCATGTATTGTTGGTGTTAGTGCTTAACAGTCATTGCGACTGGATTAAACTGAAACATTCTCTTCAAAAGACAGTGATATTTCCAGTTAAGGTGTTTTATTTAACTAAACACGACTTTCTTTTGGGATCACCATCATCAGTTACTTCACTCAGGTGGTCATGAGGATATCATTGATGCTTTCGCAATCGGCTCCGCAATTCTTGCGATCTCTTGCAAATCCGAAGGTCATACAATTGCAGCTTCCTCGTATATGTAATTAGTGGTTTGTGTACCTAAACCTTTGTTAAGGCACAAGCTTTGAAATTAGGCATTTTTTTAAAGAGACGGGGCTTTATCAGATTGTAAACTAATTAGAGTTTGGTCAAATAATAATACAGCCATGTCCTTTATTTACCCAGAAGTCTATCAAGTCGCAAGATGATTTTCTGTAACTCTGCAATGAGGATGTTTGGCAAATTCCTATAAAGTGTTTGGTATGTGGGAGGATCTTACGTGGAGAAAACAAACGTACGAGGAGTAGTAAACACTCACAGATTCAAACGTCCATTACCGTTCTACAATCTCCTGCTCACTTGGCAGCATCAATCAGAATGGGTGAAGGGAAGCAAGGCTAGTGGAGATGGGTGGAGGGGATTCAGTTAAAGATTAGCTAATGCACTGCAATATGTGCCCTTTGTCATTAAAAGCAGTAACTTCGTGCGGTAAATGTGTACCCTGTGTCAGTCAATCCACTGCTGGCTGAGGGCCTATCCACGCTCAGCAGGCCTTGGGAGTTATTTCACTAAATGCTGGTCAGTGCGGGTTGGTGAATGTAGGGTGCATATACGTTGGAGCATGAGTACTGAACAACATTTGCTACACAGCCATCCACTGTCCACCAAGCCAGCCCTGCAGTCTATTAGTCTATAAACCCTTCTGTGAATGGGCATCACGATCCACGGTCCAGACTCATCCCTGCTTAAGCTTTCAAGATCTGTCGAGATCGGGTGGAATCTGGCAGTAACACGTTAATTAGCACGGCCGACTACGTACGGTGCGAAAGAGATTCAACATACATACATATGTAGTGTCAACGATTCATAGTCTATGGAAACTGTATGCTTGGGTGCAGATAAAAATGCGGCAGGTATTGCACTGCCCGCTCACGCCTCTGCTGAGAGAAGGGCCTCCACTAGGTGGAGCTTTTGAGTGATTGAGGGTGGCTGTAGAGGTGATCTTGGCCTGCTTTTCCACGCTGATCAGACGTCTAAAAGACGAGTTCGGTTCAAGTACCCACACTTTGCCAACTGTGCGCACCAATAGTATCGTGATAGTCTAGAAAATCAACCACCACGGTGAAGGCAGAGACAAGGGTGGAAACAAAATAATACAAGAGAAACTGGAGCTTTCGTCAACAAGAATGGGTGAAGGGAGGGAGGGGGGTTAGGGCTGCAGGGGACATGAACGCAAGAGAAACTAGATTCCTGATGATTTGCTCAACACGACAGCGTGGACGTGGGGGGGGGGGTGCAATGGGCGAGACAGCAATCACGTGCAGTGTGTACCGCCAATGGAGCACGCGTTCCGCATTGTTTCTGGCGTAAAGTGGTGGGGAGGAGGAGGGTGGTGGTGGTGGTTGGTTCAGTGGATGGAGGGAGGCTGGGTTGGGGGTGGGCACTGGGCTGGTGCTGATAGAGGCTGGGAGGGTGCGGGGATTGTCAGGGTAGGAGGGTGAGGGATTGAGGTAGTAGAGGAGGGAGGGTGTTGAGGTTTGGAGGGCGGGTGGGTTGGTATTTGGAGGTGTACGTGGATGGAAGGGTAAGGAGGGGGTAGAAGGGTGAGGAAAGGAGGATAGAGGGAGGGCAAGGGATTGGTGGTACGGATGGTGATGGGATTGGGGTGAGTAGAGGAGGGGGGGTGATAGATCTGGGAGGTGGGAGGCTGATAGAGAATTGGAGGGAGGAGAGAGTTGGGGGTAGAAATTGTTTGGAAAGGTGGGGGGGTCATTGGGGAGGGTGGGGTCCATGGGGAGGGTGGGGTCCATGGGGAGGGTGGGGTCCATGGGGAGGGTGGGGGTCCATGGGGAGGGTGGGGGTCCATGGGGAGGGTGGGAGTCCATGGGGAGGGTGGGGGTCATTGGGGAGGAGGGTGGGGTAGTGGCAGTGGGAAGATGTTGTTTGGGTGGGGAGGTGGTTTCGGTTTGGGTGGGGAGGGTGGGGGTTTGGGGAGGGTCAAAAGGGGAGGGGGCTGGAGGGGAGGGTGGAGGGGGATGGAGGGGAGGGTGGAGGGGGATGGAGGGGAGGGTGGAGGGGTTGGAGGGGAGGGTGGAGGGGATGGAGGGGAGGGTGGAAGGTGGATGGAGGGGAGGGTGGAGGGGGATGGAGGGGAGGGTGGAGGGGGATGGAGGGGAGGGTGTAAGGGGGATGGAGGGGAGGGTGGAGGGGGATGGAGGGGAGGGTGGAGGGGGATGGAGGGGAGGAGGGGGATGGAGGGGAGGGTGGAAGGTGGATGGAGGGGAGGGTGTAAGGGGGATGGAGGGGAGGGAGGAGGGGGCTGGAGGGGGGGAGATGGAGGGGAGGGTGAAGGGGGCTGGAGGGGAGGGTGGAGGAGAATGGAGGGGAGGGTGGGAGGGGAGGGTGGAGGGGGATGGAGGGGAGGGTGGAAGGGGGATGGAGGGGAGGGTGGGAGGGGAGGGTGGAGGAGAATGGAGGGGAGGGTGGGAGGGGAGGGTGGAGGGGGAGGAGGGTGGTTCCCACTGATAAGCAAAACGCAGCGCTACGCTCAGCACAGCGCTGCGTCGCGAACACTCGGGGTGGAGTTTGCGCGCGTCCATCCATCGACAGTGGCCGTCTCCTACGCTCTCCTCTCGCGTCAAAGTCCCGGCTGGGCAGGTAAGAAGACGTGTGGGGCTCAGGCAGCAGTGACAGCACGCAAGCACTTGCCCTCACCCCGTGTGTTACACGTGCGCACATCAGGATACTGTACTTGTCTACACTTGAGTGTCATGCGACGGGGGGGGGGGTAAAGTCTAACGTGTTAAGCAAACGCAAGTGCGATCCGGTTAGCACAAGGTAATGTGTTTTAATGCATTGTGTAAACAGTATATGCGTGTGTGTGTGTAGTATACAGATGAAGTACTATGTACATTGTGCTGAGTAGACACAATGTAGTGGTAGTAGTACTACTCGCAAGAGTGTAACATCGTCGTTTGCAGCATGCCGGGGCAGTACTACACAGTCCACTATCGGTGACATGCTGTTAAGTATTTATCTCTGGTCCTCCACTGCTGGATGACGACCCCCCCCCCCCACTCCTCGTTGGTTGACCATACTTCACCGCGCGGGTCAGTGCTGCGGGTGGGTTTGTGGTGAAGGTTGAGCGGGGAGAGAGCGAACATCAACAGTGGAGGGGTTTTTTTGCCGCACTGCCCCCTGCTGCCCACGCTGCCCATAGCACCTGGGTCATGTCCACGCTGCCCATAGCACCTGGGTCATGTCCACGCTGCCCATAGCACCTGGGTCATGTCCACGCTGCCCATAGCACCTGGTCATGTCCACGCTGCCTATAGCACCTGGGTCATGTCCACGCTGCCCATAGCACCTGGGTCATGTCCACGCTGCCTATAGCACCTGGTCAGCCCACGCTGCCTATAGCACCTGAGTCATGCCCACGCTGCCTATAGCACCTGGGTCATGTCCACGCTGCCTATAGCACCTGAGTCATGCCCACGCTGCCTATAGCACCTGGGTCATGTCCACGCTGCCTATAGCACCTGAGCTGCCCACGCTGCCTATAGCACCTGGGTCATGCCCACGCTGCCTATAGCACCTGAGCTGCCCACGCTGCCTATAGCACCTGAGTCATGTCCACGCTGCCTATAGCACCTGAGCTGCCCACGCTGCCTATAGCACCTGAGTCATGTCCACGTTGCCTATAGCACCTGAGTCATGTCCACGCTGCCTATAGCACCTGGGTCATGTCCACGCTGCCTATAGCACCTGGGTCATGTCCACGCTGCCTATAGCACCTGAGCTGCCCACGCTGCCTATAGCACCTGGGTCATGTCCACGCTGCCTATAGCACCTGAGCTGCCCACGATGCCTATAGCACCTGGGTCATGTCCACGCTGCCTATAGCACCTGGGTCATGTCCACGCTGCCTATAGCACCTGGGTCATGTCCACGCTGCCTATAGCACCTGAGTCATGTCCACGCTGCCTATAGCACCTGAGCTGCCCACGCTGCCTATAGCACCTGGGTCATGCACGGTGGTGGTGGTGGGGGGCACCCCATCCAAAGCGATAAGCCACGTGCGCTGTGTTTATCCCACGGATGTGTATTATTTTAGTTGTAGTAGTAGATGTCGTTTGGTTTCATAAGGGGCCGTCCATAAATGACGTCACGCGATTTTGGACGATTTTTCGACCCCCCCCCCAACCATCGTCACACGGCGTCACAAAAAGTCAGACCACCCCTCAAATATGACGTCACAAAGCTCTGCCCCCCCCCCCAAATAAAACATGCTTCAAATCGCTTTAAACTATTGTCATTGTAGTGCGTATTTAATGTGGCGCAGCACTCTGATGTTGTAGGAGAAAACATTTATAAAAAAATTATTTAATTAAGTAGAACGTGTTGCCTATATTTATTTAAAGTTGCGCATTTTTATGTGACGTCACATTTCTCAAACCCCCCCTCCCCTGTCGTCACACATCGTCACAAATGTCTGACCACCCCCCACCCCTAGGTGCGTGACGTCATTTATGGACTGCCCCTAAGTACTGATAAATATCAACGTGTGTGTGTGTGTTCCATTGCTGCGTAACGAGGGCGGCGTGTTGGCGTGGGGCGAAGTGCTGCTTACGCGCCTTCACTCGGAACCTGGACACCCGAGTTCAATTCCACACCGCGGGGTTAATTAACATCATCAGGTGGCGAACGATTTCCGACTTTGCCCCCCCCACATTACCACCATCCACTTTATCATCACCACTAGAGGACGACCGAAATTTGGTTTCGGTTTTGGTTTCGGCCGAAAGTTGGCAAATGACCACTTTTAGTTTCGGCCGAAAGTCAATTTTTTACTTTCGGTCTGGTTTCGGTTTCGGCCGAAACTGATATTGACTTTCGGTCGTCAATGGAAGATCTATTTTTTTAGAATATAACGCTAGTGCTAAGTCTATCAGTCTGCCTATCGGCCGGTCAGTCGGCGCTAGGCAATCCTATGCGATAGGCTGCAAACACACAGACACAGCAGCAGCAGCAGCTTGGGAGCGAGGTTACAGCCGCAACGATGGTCTGCTAATGTATATGCGAGCGGTCAACAGACGGCAGCCAGCATCTCCATCCGTGGGTGGAGTGTCTCTTTGGCAGGACGACATCGAAGTGCCTCTGTTGCCTGTTCCCAGCCTGCCTGCCCGCCTTGGCTTGATGTGTTGCGTTCGCTTCAGTCTACACGCGTGTTGATACCGAGATAAGAAGTCTGACAATTAAGAGGCCGATCGAAATTCTGTTTCGGCGCTGAAAGTTGGTAAATGGCCTTAGTCGGCATAGTTTTTGTTTTGGCCGAAGCCAAAAAGTTAACTTTTGGTTTCGGCCGAAAGTCAATTTTTAACTTTCGGTCTGGTTTCGTTTTCGGCCGAAACCATAAATTCAATTTCGGTCGGCCTCTAATCACCACCACACACTTAATCATCACCATCACCCACTTCATCATCACCACCATCACCCACTTCATCATCACCAACCACACCACTTCATCATCACCAACCACACCACTTCATCATCACCAACCACACCACTTCATCATCACCAACCACACCACTTCATCATCACCAACCACACCACTGACCGTCGTGGTGAAGTATAGTCAAAACAACCGCCCTTGATTGACGCAATATGCGGAGGACTTCATCCAGCAAATGCGATTGTCAGATGTCTGCAAAGTATTGTTCATTTTTGTAACGTATGCGTATATGTACACACAGTAATGTTTACTGTATATGCAGTCATGTTAGTACTGTGTAGTAAGTGTATATTGGGGTAAAGTGGTACTGAACCTGTCCTTATTAAGTACTGGCTAAAGCATGTGTACAGCGTAAACATAGTCGGTTATAACAATACAATATTTTTCTATCGATTAGTATACCATTCCATTATACTTGTTTGTTTCATAGGCACACTGCTATTCAGTACAGTACACAGCAGAGTTCTTTCTATGCACCGCCGATCAATAATAATTGACATTTATCAGGGCAGTCAACCCACTGCTACATGAAAACGTCTTCCCAGCGAAGTATGGGGTTCATCACAACACTTGCCATGCTGTGCACATGTTACGTATGTTACTTGCTGTGTGTACACAGTATATTACATATGCCGCTACAGTTAACTGCGTAAACAAGTCATTCACTGCTGTAGGCATAGGGGATTAACACATTTTACATTAAAAAAATTCATTTTATAGCTTTTGTTGTGTTAGACTGTACTGTGTGTCGTAGCGCTGTACGATTGTGTTTACTGTGAATGTATGAATCATCTGTTGTTTGCTATGAAATGTACATATTCGCTACAGTTAACAAGACGAGGAATGTGTCCGATGATGTTTTATGTTTGCGCAAGCAGTTTGCTATCATGTTTTTTTTTTAAACCCTGTGTTAAAAAAATACCGTGGCATGTTAGCTTACAACCATTTGTTTTAGACCACATGTGCGCGTGTGATCCGACGAACATTCCAGATTGTTCAGATGTTTCTAACCCCACCGACTTGACACACGTCATGACATCACCCTTATCCTGGACCATCTTCCCCAATGATAGATCAACAATATTAATACACACGGACGTTTCCAACCTCTTTACACCTCAACAACAACCATCTCTCCTCCCTCCTTATCTTCCTTCACCCGATCCTGGCCATTTATCGGCATTGCCTTCATCACCCCACTCGCATCATCGTTTTATCTCGCCTCTCCACAATCCTAACCCTTTGGCAGCTAAGATGCCCTATTCATAGAGAATTAAGCTGCTTGTGTTGTGTTTTTAGTCCCCCCCCCCCCTCCTATTAGGGCTTGGCTAGGCGCCCAGGGTATTTTATAATGGTTAGGCAGTCACAGAATGGTAGAGGTGGGAATCAGGTTATGTATGTGTGCTCTCGCTAAACGTGTGTGACGATATGTGTAATGTCTTGTTACTCAGAATGTGTGCCTTTGGCTTTTTGCCTTTGTGTGTGTGTGTGCTTCAGGCTTCACTTGTATGTGTTGTTATATTTGTATCTTGTGCATCTGTCTTTCCGTGTGTGCATATTTGCCTATGTATATACCAGCGTGATGGTGCCCCATTTTTACGAAGGGGGATCGCATTGATTACAGCACCTACCGGGAAAGCTCCTTGCAAGGATTATTCAGCATCATCTTGCTAGGCACGCCATATTCTCTGTTCCTCTGTTACAGCAGAGGTGTAGAGAATATGAACAAGACCTACATCTCTGCTTTAATGCAATGGTCAAAGCCTATGCTACCATCATTAGGGCAAGGCTTTTGGTTATTGTTCGTGTTTTCTGGGTCCTTGGCCCCATGCTTCCATTCATCAAGGACTTTCATGGTGTTGGGCAAGCCATTCACCTTGGTGTGCAACAGGGATGTCTTCTGGTCCCTATACTATTTGACATTTTGTTTGACCACATAGTTCGATATGTTTTCCACGGTTGTAATGGAGACATTTTCATCTCGTATAGATACAATTGGGGGCTAATCGATGCCAGGGTGCGGTCACAGGATGGCTTCATATTGGTCAACCATGTTATGTATGCCGATGGTCTGGTAATTGCTGCTCACTCTGAGGAGTTGGAGACTCTACTGGTGAACCTGGAGTGTGCCACTGAGAGATGGATG